TGGCCTCGTTCCCCCTCCCCCCTCACCCCACCCCACCCCCGAGCGCACGTAGGCATGTACGCTCCGCGCGGCTTCGGCCGAGAACTCATCCGCCGGGTGGGCCAGGTAACCGGGCAGATCCCGGGACTGGTGGCCCGGCCGCCAGCGGCCCTGACCGGGGCCGAGCTCCTGACGGCCGACCGGGCGGACCTGCCGCCGGCCTCGCGCTTGGATCGCGTCTACCGGCAGTTCATCTACAACCGGTTTTTCCCCGATGGCTACGGGGACCTGCACATGGTCGGGCGCTTCCTGCAACTGAAGTCCCAGGCCTTTGACCGGGTGGACCCCCGGCATCTGGTGACCATCGACTCGGTGGAGACCCTGCTCCCTGGGGCCGGGGTCGGCTCCTTCCGCGGGGCCGGGCCCGGGGCCGGGGCCGGGACCGAGCCCCTCCGCATTGTCCATGCATCGCTCGAGTCGCCGATTAATGAGCACTGGCCGGATCTCCTGCCGGCCGAGTGCCGACGCGCGCGCATCCAGATCGTCCTGCCGGCCGGCATTGGTGCCGGCGCCGGCGCCAGGGGCGGCATCGCTGGCAGGCAGTCTGCCCTCGGGCCGCAACTGGCCGCCGCGTTGGGGGTCGAGCCGGCCGCCGATCAGGACACCTCGCCCCCGGGCCCGGCGACCTTTGTGCAGCTCAGCGCCACGGGCGACCACTCCTTCTGGCGCCGGCGCATGCTGACCGCGGTCCCCCTGGCCCGGGACCATGGCATCGCCAGCATCATCCTGGAGAACCCCTTCTACGGGGCGCGTAAGCCAGCTGGCCAGGTCCGCAGCAACCTTCGGACCATGATGGATCTTTTCCGCATGGGGATCGCCATCCAATACGAAACGATGGCCCTGCTGCATTGGGCCGAGCGGGAGCTCCGTACGTCTCTCTGGGCCCGCGCCTTGTCGGTTGCTGTGTCGCGCTGTTACTCACCCCATCTTGCGTTGAAAAAAAAACCCCGACGGGCACGTGCGCACACACGCCTGTATTTTCGTACCTTCCCCCTTCCTCTTGTGCATGCACATGGACGCGTCTACATGCGTACGCGTACACACACACACACGCACGCACATACACACACACACACGCACGCACATACACACACACACACACACACACACACACACGCACACACGCACACACGCACACACACACACACACACACACACATAGGATGCGACGGCCGCCTCGGTGTGGCTGGACTCAGCATGGGCGGGCACATGGCCGCCCTGGCAGTGGCCTCCTGGCCGCGCCCCTTGGCCCTGGTCAGCTGTCTCGGGCCCTTCAGCGCGGCCGGGGTCTTCACACATGGCGTCTTCGGGGCCGTGTGCGATTGGCCCTCCCTGGCTGGCCAGCTGGCGGCCATGTCGCCGGAGGAGCGGGATGCCCTGCTGGCCCTCCTGCCGGAAGGGTCGCTGGACTTCGGCCGCGACGAGGACCCCAGCCCCCTGCTGGACTCCCTGGCGCATGTCATCCCCCGGGAGTACCATCCGGCGGTGCGCTTCACTGCCCGACTGTTGGATGCCGGCACGGCACTGGCCGGGCGCAATGTCGGCCGGCCGGCCGAGCCGCGCGCCGCCCTGGCCTTCGCCGCCCAGCACGATGCCTATGTCCCGCTGCTGGACACCCGGCGCTTCCACAAGCAGTGGCCCGGCTGCGAGGTTCGCCTCATTCCCCACGGACACATCGGCTCCTTCCTGACCGCCAACGGGACCTTCCGCGCGGGCATGGTCACCGCCATGGCCCGGCTGAATGAGGCCCTGGCTGGGGCGCCTTCCGCCGCGCGGGCCTAGCGCGGTGCCCGGTCCGTGTTTGTATGTCCCTCCTCCGTTCCCTGCTTCCCCTTTCCCTCCCCCCTCCCCCTGCAACCTCTCTTCCGGCCCCGGGTGACATCACCCATATGTGGCATCCCCCGTGCCCTGCCTTTGCACATACACACACACACACACACACACACGTGTGTACAAGCACAAGCACAAAGATGCACACGCGCGCTTCACTCAACTATAGACAACAGAAAAGACGCCGCCAGATGCGGCGCGAGCAGCTGTGACAATAAAACGCAAAACAACTCCCCAGCCCCAGCCCCCTTGTGAAGGCCCACGCACACATTTGCACAGACAGGACGAAAGGCCGGGAGACAGGGCTACACAAGCGCCTGGCGACACACGTGTATGTGGCATTGTGACAGGCAGGTGGGACATGGGGCTTGAGGGTGCGACAAGCCCCGGGGGCCTTTACCGAGGCGAGTCGGCCACCTCGCGCTGCAGCGCGGCAAACAGCTCGCCAAGACGCCGGCCGAAGGCCGGGCATACAGGCCCGCCGGTGGCCGGCGACGACCCGGCCGGCTCGATCGCCAGCACGCGGTGGACCCCGGCCGCAAAGAACTCCAAGTCCAGGGCCACTTGCCGGCGGATCTTGTCCTCGTCCGAGTGATGGCCACCGGGCCCGGTGCCGGTGCCGGCGACACCGGCCCCCGGAGCTGACGGAGCTCGCTTCTGCAGGCGCTCCAGGCTGGCGGCCGTCTTGCGCACCAAATCCAACAGCTGACGCGTGGCCACGGCAAAGTGCCAGGTCAGCTGGGCGGCCAGGTGCATGCGCACCGCCGCCGGCAGCCCGGTCCCTTCGCCCGGCAGGAAGGTGGCCAATACCGGGGCCGGGAAGTGCCCGCGCAAGCGCTCGGCATAGGTGGCCTGCAGGGTGTCCAGCCGTCCGAACAGGGCTACCAGATGCGGCGACGGGGCCCCTGGCAGGCCGAGGCTTGTCATGCGATACCGGGCCGAGATGGCGCGAATGTCGCTGGCCAGCCGGCTGGGCAGCGATCCGGCCGCGTCCGGCCCCCCGGGACAGGGACAGCCCCCGTCTACGGCGTGCGTGCCGGCCCCGGGCTCGAGGAAGACGTACCGCCCGCGGAAGGCCTGCACCTCGGCCAGGGCTTGGACGGTCAGTGTCCGAGCGTCGGGCCCGGAAACACCGAGCAGGCTATCGGCCACGGCAGATGCCAGCAGGGCTGCGGCACTGCGAGAGAACGTCTCGAAGGGATCCAGTGCGTCGGCAAATGCATCTGCATGCATTCAGGCGGGCGAGCGAGAGGAGGGAAGGGGGGCAGAATGACAGAAGCGGAGACCGATACCGAGGGAAAGGGTGTTGGAGAACAAGAGCGACAAAGAGTGGGGGGGGAGAGAGAGAGAGAGAAAGAAAGAAAGACATGGAGGACCAAGTGACGCGTAGGAGGATGTGTCAGCGGAGCAAGCGCAAAGTCAAGGCGCAGAAAAGACAGGCGGCCACGCACCGCGAAGCAGGGACGAGGCGCCCACCACATCCGGCAACTGAGTCTGCATATCGCTGCCCACGACCCGGTGGACTGCCTGCTGGAAGTACTCCGCGCAGGCCAGGATGTCCAGCAAATCAAACACACCCTCGGGAAAGGCGTCAGTGGCACCGGCACCAGCGCCACCCGGTGCCGGGGTCACATTCAAAGCCACCTTGGCCGGGGTGAAGGCCCCGGACACCTGGGCCACCAGCTGCAGGGAGAACTTGCACATGCGGTGGACGATCGGCGGAAGGATCACCTCCGGTGACCAGGCCCTCTGCAGGGACAAGGCCGCCTTCTGCACGAGCAGCGGATACATGGTGACTGGAGTCGCGGGGAGAAAGAGAGGGTGGGGGGGGGGGGGCGAGAGAGGGCATATGCGTTTGGGAGTGCGCCCATGCGCGTGTCCATGCGGCCATAATACACGCATGCGTCGATGGGGGGTGTCAGCGCAAATGCCACCAAGGAAGGCGAGGGAATGCCGAGCGCCACCGGGAAACCACGCACCTGGGCTCGTGAGAAGCTCGTCGATGGGTGCCGCCAGCTCACGGAAGCGGATCTGATAGTACACCGGCATCAGCTGCTGGCGGAGGCGATTGTGCAGCAGCATCTCCGACTGGCAGATGGGACCGGCGGCCGAGGGGACCGGGGCCAGCACCGGCGACCCGCCCTCGCCCAGCACCATATGCAGGGCATTGGCCTGGCGGATTTGCTCGGTGAACTGGCAGAAGAGCCGGTAGTGCGCATGGAAGAGATCCGGCCGACCGGGCTGGAAGGCCATCTTCATGTGGTTGGCAATCGACCCGGACAGGGCAGGCCAGAAGGCTGGCAAAGCGACCACGCGCGGGCACCCCGCAGGCGAGACACAGACACGGCGCCGAGGGGGAGAAGCATGCGACGCGATGACAGGGTAAGCCAGGATCCCCGGGCAGGGAGGACATGGAGGCACACTGCGGCTGGAGGGCGAGCAGGAAAAAAGCATGGACAGGGGATCGACGCACAGTTGGAGAAAAAGTCGAACTCCAGCCGCGACGCCCGAGCCACGGTGATCAACCCACAGGGATCATGCTGCACCACCTTGGCCAGCGAGGCGTATAGCTGCTCGGTTAGCCGGAGCTCCAGCTGCTCCTGGCGCGCGGCGCCGCCGGCATCGGTCGAGGCCCCGGCGTGGTCAAAGAGCATCGGCAATTGGCGGTTGTACTGCTCGAACTCGCGGGCAATGAGCGGCTCGTACAGGTGCGTCCGGCACAATTGCTCCGCATAGCCGGCCAGCCCGAGGCAATCGTACGTCCGCAGGAAGGATAGAAGTTGGTCCTCGTGCGAAATGGCGCCAGGCTCGTTGGCCATGGAGCCGAGCCCGGCTGCCGCGGCCGCCCCGGCCACCGACGAGGCAGAGGACGATGGTGGCGATGACGATGACGAGGACAGCGACGATGCCAGCGGGCCTGGCTGCTCGGCGCCGGGCCCGGCACCGCGGATCTGGTCGAGCAACAGCAGGAAGGCACTCTCCAGGCGCTCGCGCAGGACCAGGGACAGACGCTCAATGCGCTACACGCGATGACGAATGGCGGGACGAGGACCGAGGACAGGAGGTGGCCCGATGGTAAGTCCGCGGGGAGCAGGCGCGACCCACGGGGCCGGCCATATGGGCAAGGACGTCGGCAAGCAGCCACACGCACCTCACGCAGCTGTGGCAGGGCCTGCTCCAGCTGGGTCGAAATAAAGCGCACAGCCTGCACCGGGGGCAGGGCCGCGGTCCCGGGCGGCGCCAGGTCGGCCACCGTCCCGCCGGCCGGGGCCGATGTGTCGTCGGCCGTGGATGCCGCCGCGGCCGCGGCCGCCGCCGTGGCCGCACATGCTGCCAGAAGCTGCTCCGCCGGCAGCCCAGCAGGCAGGGCCAGGGGGATGGGCCTCAGGCACAGCGGGTCCGCCCCGGCCACCATGGCCACAAAGCCCCTGACGAAGGCCGAGCCGGACCCCTCGGACGTGCCCGGCTGCAATGACGGCGCAATCAACGCCTGGAAGCCACACCGCCGGGGGTGGCCGCCAGCACCGGCCGACGCCTCCGGGTCTTTGCCGGTGCCACCGGAGCCGGCGCCGGAGCCGGGGCCAGGCCCCGCACCCCCGGGCCCCGGTGCCCCGGCAAGGGCCGCCGGCGTCGCACCGACCATGCCGGAGGTCGGTCCAGTGGCCGCCAGGCCGGGCGACAGGACGCCGACCGCGGGGTCCGCCCCGGCTGAGGCCAGGCGTGCCAGCGGATCCGTCGCCTCGGCTGCCAGACTCTCGTAGAAGTAAATTTGGTTCAGAGAGGAGGCCGCGCTCTCGAGGGCCACGCAAGACCTGCGCGGGGGTCCAGACGGCACACCGTCACGCCGGGGGGGAGGGAGGGGGGGGGTACAGAGTGCAGGATCCGCCGAGAAAGAGCAAGCGCGCGTGCAGAGAGAGAGAGAGAGGGGGGGGGGCAGGAGTGTGAGAAGCGGGTCAGATTGAGGGACAGGACAGAGCCTCTCCCTGGGGAGAGAGAGAAAACATAGAGAGAGAAGGAAAGAGAGGAAGGGAGGGAGGGAGGGAGGGAGAGGGAGGGAGAGAGATAGAGACAGACAGACAGAGAGAGAGAGAGAGAGAGAGAGAGAGAGAGACAAAGAGAGAGACAGAGAGAGAGCCAGGGGACAAGGGCGCACTGGACGGCATCCTGCTCGGTCAAACGCTCGGCCTGGTTTATGGTCTCCACCAGACGCCCGAAGGCCTCGAGCCGCGAGCGGACGTGCACCAGCCGCGCCCGGCGCAGGATCACCGCCGCCAGGCAGTAGTACGATGCCAGGAGCTGGTCGCGCGTGGTGGCCAGCTCGGTGGCCAGGTCGTCGAGCGGCGCCCGGGACGCCTGCACCACGGGCGTCAGGCTGCTCAGATCCGACGCCAGCGTCAGGAGCCCGGTGTAGTCACGATGGATCAGGTCGATGAGGGAAGTTTTGATCTCTGCTCGATGGCCAACCGGTGAACGGGCCGGCAAATCCCCGGGCAAGACAGCGGGTCAGTCCGATGGCCTCGGTGGCCGGGCGCAGGAAGGCCAGCACTCGAGGCCGGGCGCAGGGCCAGTCCGGCAGGCCGGGCGCGCACCATTCAGTTGCGTGGTGAAATCCCGGCGCAGGGTGTCGAGCGACCGGCCGGCCGCCGCCTGCTTCAGGATGTACGTGTCCAACTCGGAGAAGTCCGCGAAGGAGGCCACGGTGTCAGGGCCTCCGGTCGGGGCGCCGGCCACGCGCGGCCCGGGCGCCGAGGCCGCAAGACCACCGCGGTCCGCCATCTGCACAGGGGCCAGGCACAGGGAGGCTGGCGCACTCGAAGAGGGGGAAAGCCAGCGACAGAAAAGCGGGCGGCAAGGCTCAAGAGGGGAGGGAAAGAGGAGGGGAGGGGGGAAGGAGGGAGAAGGGGAGAGGCTGGGGTAGGATGCCGCGAGGCCTGGGCATGGCCCCGGCCAGGCGCGGGCCGGGCGCACAAGATGCATGCGCGTGAATCGACTGAGCGTGCGCGAATTGGGCCTGTGGGTGTGCCGATCGGCCGGCCTCTGTCGCCGGCCCTCTGCGCGCGCCCGGCCGCCGAGCCAACCTGTCAGGGCAGTGGCCTTCTGGAGATGTAGAACATCTCCCTTTCCCAGAACCGGGTGCCCACTTAAAAGTCGCAGAGCGCACAGGTGTCCCCGCGCTCTCCGGCCGGCCGCCTTCTCCAGGGGCGGGGAGCGGCCGCAGGACCCGGGTGTTGTGCCTGCCCCCCCCCCCCCCCCCCCCCCCCCGCCGCCCGCCGCCCAGTGCTGGGGGGGGTGGGGGAGGCCGCACGCCGGACCAACTGACGGGGTCGCGTGAAATTCCCTCCTGCGTCTAGGTCCGGGCGCACGTTTGTCATGCCGCGCCGGTCTGCCTGTCCGGGGAGACCCAAGCACCTGTTGATGGGTGGACGGAGGGGGGGGGGGGGGGCGGGGGATGCGGGGGGGGGGCCTATGCGTCGGTGGCTTGCCAGGAGCGTCCCGTCTCTCTCTTCCTCTCTCTCTTTCTCTTTCCCGATTTCCCGATGTGCGCTGGCGTCACACGGCTCGGGTGCCTTCCCCCCCCCGCCGCCCGCCGCCCAGTGCTGGGGGGAGTGGGGGAGGCCGCACGCCGGACCAACTGACGGGG